CACGCACACATGCACGCATGCATAGCAGCAGCAACAGCAGCAATTTGCTGAATGTATTTGTAAGTAACATTTTTTCTTTTTCTTCTTTTTTCCCTTTTTCCCCTTCCTTTTTCCCTCCCTTCTTTCCTCCCTTCCTTATTCTCACTATATAGTCCAGGTTGGCCTTGATCTCAGAATCCTCCTGCCTCAGTCGGAGTGCTGGGACTATAGGCATGTATCACAATGCCTAGCTTTAATCTCATGTTTTAAGTTCACTTTATGAGAATTTTTAGATGAGTATGGAACTTAGGATGTATTTAAGTTTTTAGATTTCTTAGCAAACCCTAGTTTTTAAACATGGAGGTGGTATGATTGTAATTGAAATAGTTGTGTGTGTGTGTGTGTGTGTGTGTGGTGTGATCCTCGAGATTGAACCTAGGGCCTGTACATACTAGACAGGGTCTCCACTACGGAGCTATATCCTAAGCCCCTATATTTGTTATTTCTGTAAGATTTTTTTAAAATACATTGTCTTCTTTTTGCTATGGTCTGAATGGGTCCCCTTGAAATTCGTTTGTTGAAACCTGACTCCCAGTGTAGTAGTATAAAGAGGCAGGGCCTTTTGGGGGTAGTCACGGCAGAGTAGCCCTCATGAATGTCCTTCAGGTCCTTATGGAAGAGGCCTATTGAGCTTGTTTAGAAGTTTGTTTCCACCATGTAAAGGTGCAGCATTAGGGTGCCCTCTATGAAGAACTATTCTTAAAACCAACATGCAATCTACTTGTGCCTTGTTGGATTTCCTTATCTCCAGAACTATGAGAAAGAAATTGCTAAATCATGTATGAGCTACCCAAGTTATGGTTTTTGTTGAAGCAGCCCAAAATGGCTGAGGCACATTTCTTGTTAATTTTTTTGCTTATGATAAAAAAGACCAGTAGTTCTGAGACCTATACAAGTTGGCTTGAATTTTATTTTATTTTTTTGGTGCTGGGAATCAAACTGAGGACCTTGTGCTTGCCAAGCAGGGCTGTATCACTGGCTGAGCTATATCACTGGCCCTGTGGCTTGAATTTTAGACTTTGAGAAGAGACTTGAGCAAGATGTGGCTGTGTGGAGTAGGGTAGGAAATACGGCAGATGAATATGATCAGAATGTATGCATCGAACCCCCACTATGTGAAGCTGAGGAGGGGGAGGGTGGGTGTGGGGCTGATGAGGGTGAAGATGATCAAAGTATGTTACGAATCTGCCAAACTGAAACCCCTTAGTCTGTGTAAGCAATATGCATTGATAAATAAAAGGTGTGGGGAAAAACCCCAGGGAGTATTTCAAATGGACAATCAGTATGTATTTTAAAAATAAGAAAACATTAATTGTCATACAGAAATGTAAGGTAATTTTTCTTACATGATATTCAAGTAAATCTGAAATAGATTTTAATTTACCCGATAAGGGGCTGGAGATTTAGCTCAGCGGCACAGCGCCTGCCTGGCAAGCGAGAGGTTGTGAGTTCAATTCCCGGTACTGGAAAAAAACCAAAAAGAAAAAGACTAAAAAAAAAAAAAAAAATTACCTTATAATAAATCTTAGTAGTGGAAGAATCCTTTGGTAGTATGATAAATTTCTCAGTGTACTCTTGAGTCTTTTGCCAAGATAAGTGATTCTAATTCATCAAATATCTGTTTCAGCATGACCTAAATGGTGAGCATTAGAATAGAAGAATGAGGATGGTCTTTGCCCTTTGTAGGATAACTTAGTATGAGATGTATTGATACTGCAATATCTCCTACTATTGCTGCTGTTCTGTTTTGAATTATATAGGAAAATGCTGTCTAGAGTTTTAAATAACATCATTAATATATTTCTACCTATTATCTGGACATACTATTTCTTATTTACTTTTCCTTTTAATATAATTTCATTTTACCAGTACACTTATTGATAGGGCAAATTATAATTTACTTATAGATACTACTAAACATTAGCTCTTATTTTGATATTTAGCTTTACAGATAGATATCACTAATAGATATTTTATTTTGTTTCCATTTATTTTTATTTATTTATTTATTTATTTTTTGTTTTTGTTTTTTTGGTTTTTTCTCCGGTACCGGGAACCGAACTCACGACCTTGCGCTTGCCAGGCAGGCGCTTTGCCACTGAGCTAAATCCCCAGCCCCTATTTTGTTTCCATTTAGAGTAGCAGTGTATCAATGGATAGAGAAAATATTTTTAAGGTTTTGTGCAGTGGAATGGGCTTGGCTTTTGTATCCTATTATCAGTTCAAATCCTGGCTGAGCCCCAGCTGCCTGTCTTTCTGCCACAAAAGACAAGTCACTGCAAATTAGGTGCTGTTTTCTCTTAGCAGCTGTTCTTGTTAAACAGATTTCATTATCCTTTAAGTAAATACTCTTGGAATTGTGGCCATACTATCTTATATGTTTTTGAAGTATTTACCGTTCTAGTCACTCTAGCTGATTAAGCGGACTCCTCCTTCTAAGATAGTGGTTTATGTCTTGCAAGTCGGGGTCTCCTGCATACCCTGTGAATAACTGTAAAAAGTGACAGTGTTATTCATTTGTTTTTAAAAATCACAGCAAATAAAGTTTATTGTATTTAAATGCCGATTCGAATCTGTGACATGTCTGCTAAGTCACTGGTCTTACTTGTTAAGTGAGTACTTCTGGGATACAGTATTCTGCAGACAGAGGTTGCCTCTTGAGTTTTATGTAACATAGATTTACCTTTCTTGAAGCCTCCTGTTTCCCCTTCTATACACTTTAAAATCAGTTCTTACTAGCTTAAAATGGGTGTATATGTGTGTGTATGCAGTTGTGCTCTGCTTTTTATTTTTATTGAGCACCTTGCTTTGTCATGAAGTTATTCAGTGTGCAGGTACCCTAAGTTCATTGTGCACACCTTTCTAAGCATATATGAGACTGGTACAAAAAGACATCGTTTATTTCTGTTTTTTACTGGTCAGCCAGTAGTTACTTATGTAACCTACATATCTATTTGAGAGGTGTGACCTAAAGCACATACAAAGACCACAGATTTTAATATTTTTGCGATGAGATCGAACATGATAATTAGAAAATGCAAACTGTCTTAAAAGGAGAAGAAATTTATTGGTGTATAAACTGAAAATATTGAGTTCAAGCATGGCTGGATCCAGGAGCTCTACTCATGTCATTAGGAATATTACTGTCTTCTGATTTATACTGTTTGCTTTATTTTCTGACAAACTTCCCTAAAGAATGACCATAATAATGACCAGAAGACTTCTGTAGCCAGGTCATCTTTTTTAATAGTTTCAATCAAAGTTAATAGCCTTAATGAATATAGCATTAAGTCTTTTTGGCATATCATAGGTAGTATTTTCTGAGGTAATACTGTGGCCTGAAAGATGCCATGACCTGAACAATTCTGGACCATATACTTACTCCTAAATTTATGGGTGGGGAGGTCCAGTTAGGATTGAGGTCATCTCTTTATGAGCAACATGAACTACAAGTAATAGGGGCAACAGTTTTCTGAAGGACAATTAGGGTTCTTTTACCACTAAATGGATTACAACAAGGGTATTTATGATTGTATAAAAATCTGATAAACTCATATTACTTAATCACAGTGCTGAAGGATTACTATAGTGCTAGATCTCTGTGTACTTTAATTAAGTGGTTCTGAAATGGTTCTGTATATTACAGTTATATGGGAAGCTTTTAGGTATCTTGGTGCTGTGTTTATATCAGAGACCAATTGGATGAGAATTTCTGGGGACATTACAGAGCCTCTGTGATTATTTTTTGAAGTTGCTCAGCAATACCATGCCAATAAAATGGAGATAGAGAGGGTTGCTGGGCAGATAGTAAGGATTCAAGCAGAGGACTATCAGATGACAGAGAAGTTCTTGTTGGAGCAGCAGGATTCATAGAGAGAACAGGACCAAGAGGGCCTTCTGTCCTAGAGAGTTAGGGAAAAATCCCCAGTCAAGAAAGCAATGGAAGAAGAGATTTAGAACTCAGGAGATACCTCGCAAGAGAAGCCTAGTTCGAGAGCATCTGTCCAGAATCTTAAGAATCAAAATTGGGCCTTGTCACCCTCATTAGTTGCCCAGAGCAGTGGCTTAGGATCCTGACTGACCAGCGGATTTTCCCCAAGTCAGCCCAAAGTGAAGAAAAATGTTTCAAAAGCAACATAGAGGGTCCCGGGTGAGAAGTCTGAAAGTCCAGTGATCACCCTGATCCTATCTGAGTCACGGCCCCGTAAATGTTAAAAAAAATCATTGATACCAGACAAAGCATAATAAGGCGGGCTTTAATTAGGACTATCATGATAGTTCTAGGAACCGCAGCAGTGGGATTTTGCAGTTGGAGAGAAGAGATTGGGCTCACCTCTGAACACAGGGTGAGCTAGTGGGAAGGTAAAGCCAAGGAGCGGGATGGGATGTCAGTGGATCCAAAGTTCATGGGGGGATGCTATCAGAATTAAGGAGGATTCTGGCTGAACCAAACTAACACTGTTCTTGCTGAGGACAGGCCAGGGTGGGCATACGTAGTCTGGGGCAGTGGTGCCAAACCTATGGCACATATGTGACTGCATTTTTCTTTCCACTCAGAAGATGTTAATGGGTGAGTTGTTTTTTTAAACTAAACCCTTAGTGCTCAGGTTTAATTGCAGTGCTGGCACTTTGCGATAAATGGGTTTGGGCTTGCAGGTTAGGCACTTGGTCTCTGGTTTCTAAAAGGTTCACCATCACTGATCTGGGGGTGGGTGGAGAATACGAAACCTAGTGAAATAGCAAGATGCTTTGGTGTTGAAGGCGGGGCATTTTTGGTAAATTGGGATTTTACAAGGAAGTGCATAGAAATGCCTAGGAGACAACTGAGAAGCCTAAGACTTGATTAAGGGAAGTTATGTTTAATGTCAACAATTAATTTTTATAATGTGTAATTTTTACAGACACAATTTTTATAATGTGTAATTTTTTCTTTTTTTTTTATGCTGTTTTGTTTTAAACAGGCTAATAGCTCGTCACCTTGCTAAAATCCATGCTATCCATGCACACAATGGCTGGATCCCCAAATCTAACCTATGGTTAAAGATGGGAAAATACTTCTCTCTCATTCCCACAGGATTTGCAGATGAAGACATTAATAAAAGGTAAGCTTACTTTTACATTTGAAATTTTTTTTAGTGTTGCTTTGTTGTATAAGGAGTCAAAGGTAGCTACAAGGTTTTTATGTATGAAGTCTGGTTTGTTTATCTCTTTGTATTAGAGTAAAAAAAAAAAAAAGGATTGATGTTTTTGACTTTCAGATGGCACTGCAGAAATAACTGCCATCTATTCCTGCTTCATTCCTCTAAAATAAACCCTAAGACAGCAGAAGTGGTGGAGGTAGAGGGACAAGAAACAAAGATGGAACGTTTATTTGAAAATAATTATAGAGGTCATGATGAATGGGGACAGTTTTTCATGAATTGGCCATAAAGATCTTTTTTTAAAAAATTCTTTTGTTCAAAGGTGATTTGAAAAGGCCTAGAGATGTATATAGAGTTAGTATAGTAATGTAAAAGACTTGGGTTGTTGTTGTTTACTGTGCCTATTTTCATGCCAGACAACGAGGCTGAACACACACTGCAGTTTCCTCAGGCTTTGGTGACTCTTGACTCCCTAGACTGAAACCAACTGTGGTGTTTCTTTATTTCCTATACAAAAAGCTTACAGACTGGTATTTAAAAATAAAGATCAATATTTTATATAGCATGAGTATTACTAATACAAAGTCAAAAGTTTTGTCGTTTATATCCAAAATCTGAAGGCTGCATTGTTGTATTTAGGAAATCTGTTTCAAGAACAACAGAGACAAGCAGGTCCTATAATAGGCTTTCTTCTCCCTTGTGTCTTTTGATTTTTTTATAATTCATTAGGCAAAGCTAGCTCTTAAATTTGATTATTTAAAAGTTTAATTTGATGTGCTCTGTAAAGTCAGCCCTCTCTATCCGGACCCTCTGCATCCATAGATTCTGCCAGCTGCAGGTAGAAAATACTTTCTTGTCACTATTCTCTAAACAATATAGTTAACAACTACATAGCATTTATGTTGCGTTAGGTATTATAAGTAATCTAGGGATGATTCAAAGTAAGGAGGAGAACATGTGCAAATACTATGCTACTCCATATAAGGGTTTTGAAACATCTGTACATTTTGGTATCCGTAGGAGGTCCTAGAACCAGTCCCTTGCAGATATTGAAGGAGTACTGTGTGTGTTTGTATTTGCACATGGTTTATCAGACTTTGAATTTGGTAGGAATACCTCTTAAGCTAGGACTGGCAGACTTCTGGAAGTGATATCTAGTATGGTAGATACTGTGAAAGCTATAGCATAAAAACACAGTTCTTTTTGAAAAAGCTATTTTATTGAAAGATTTTGTGAAAAACAATTTAAAAAATGAAGTAGATGGTAAGGGAAGATTTTTAACCGAAGGTAATGTAGAAGTGAGAGACAATATACTGTTGTTTATCTTAAGAGCACACAGCACTCTGGATCTAGATTGAGATCATTCTGCCAGTCAGCATTTCTGCTGTAAAACCTTGGGGGAAGTTTCCTAACTCCATTCATCTATCAGATGCAAATAACAACAAAAGCTTATTAATGTTGCATGCTTCTTGTGAGGATTGAGTTAATATAATGTGCTTAAAAAGTGGCTGGCCACATAAATGCTAAGTAAATGTTATTATTTAGAGAAGGTTTTTAGGTTACTTTTATGTTATATTTCCTAGATTCCTAGGGTCTGCCTGTTATATGAAAGAATAAAATTTATAACAAAATAATAATGCACTATGTATCATAATCTTAAGTTGCTTAGATTTAAAAAGACTTATAAAAACAGTATAGCATAAAATTTTCTTTGCAGTGGACTAAGAGAAACTGGTATTGTACCGTATGTAGTATAAATGGAACAACTTAGTGTGTATAAGTATTTTTGAAACGACAGAATAGGTAATTTGTGAAATCATTTGAACTCCCTATTTCTTATATACCCATTGTGTATTTTGCTTTGTGTGTGTGTGTGTGTGTATATCTATTTTGAGTTTCTCATGTAAGAAAAACCATGCTATATTTAAGCTTGTGTGTCTGGCTTATTTCACTTTACACTATGTTTTCAAACTGCACCATTTGCATATAAAGGCCTCATTTTTCTTTCTTTATGGCAGAGTGGTACTCCATTCTGTATAAATGCCATTTTCTTTATTCATCCGTTGATGGACGTATACATTGTTTCCAAGGTCTAGCTATGATAAATTATGCTGCTGTAAACATGAGTATGCATGTATCCCTGTAATACGATTTTTAACTCTGGGGAACACACCTAAAAGGGAGATAGCTGGGTCAAGTGGAATTTCTGTTTTTGGCTTTTTGAAGACTCTGCACATTGATTTCCATAATGGTTGTACTAGTTTACATTCCCACCAACAATGTAGATGAGTTCCTGTTTTTCCACATCTGTGCCATCACGGTTCACTTTAAATCCACGAGATTAGTGAGATTTTGGGAAAGCTGGAGATAGACTATGGTCAATAAAAAGGAGAAAACACCATGCTCCAATAGAAAATACAGAACTAAAAATATGCAAAATAAGTATTTCTATTTTCTTGCATTCCCTTTTATTTGAATGTGATTATTATGTTCATATTCCTGACTCCTATACCCTTTTTTAAAAGCAGAGATTCTTCAACAGGCATATTATTTTGAAAAGAACATGAAAAGATTACTTTAGAAGTTGTAGAGAAGAATATGATAGTGGGGAAAATATAGGTAGAAAAACTAGCGGAATAGATAAATTCAGTATTGTAAAAAGAGAAAAACAATTCCATATTGTAAAATGGATGAGGTTGAGAGGCTACTTGTCCAGATAACATGATAGTTATTAAGAAGGGGACAAGAGTCCCAGTTTCAGAGTAAACAGTTCAGTAGCAATTTTATGGTGCTCCTGAGGAATTCATGTGACTTGTTCGTCGTTGTGCCGTTTTATTCTTTGTCAGATTGATCCCAATACAGCACATCGAAGTGTGTAGGATAAAAGGCCATTGTTGCTAGTTTCTGACATTGTGTTACCCTTCAGTCTTTCCAGTCTCAAAACTTTCAATTTCTAGTTATGTTTCTTGTTAACATAATTAATGAATACACCTTTGTATACTGATTTATCATCTGTAGACAGTGATGTGTTCACTTCTTAGAGAATTTAGCCGCTTCCTATTGTATTCACACGTCTTAGCTGGAAACAGGCATTTGTAGTTTTTAAGTAGCTTTAATTTAACGCCTTTTTTTCATTTCTAAAATGGAAATATAAAACATTTTAGAGTAGTACTTAATGTTGTTAGTTGTATATTTACTCACCAATTTTAGTGATAGGTTTTTTTTTTTAAACTTTACTGCTTTACATTTTAACTGTTCATAGGCTTTCATGTTTAAGCTCATTCTAAAGATTTTCTGTTTCAACTTTTTTTACTTCATACATTAGTTGGTTGTTTTAATTCAGTAGTATATGTAATTAAGTGGAAAAGACTTACTCAAAATAGGTTTTAATCCTTAATCAAACTTCAAAAAATTGTCATGAAGATAAATAAGCTACAACTCTTCTTTTGAAACCAAAAGGTTCCTAAGTGATATCCCAAGCTCTCAGATTCTTCAGGAAGAGATGACATGGATGAAGGAGATTCTTTCCAACCTGGGCTCACCTGTTGTGCTTTGCCATAATGACCTATTGTGTAAGAATATAATCTACAATGAGAAACAAGGTAGGTATTTGACCTTAGCAGTAAGGAAAGGTTGATTTCTAAAATTTTCTTAATTGTCTTTTGATCTTTATATGAATAAAAGTAAATGTAATTCACATACAAGGTTTAAAAAATGCATAAAACCTTTAAATACTTTCTTTTAGGTTATAAGGCCATGATAACTGATAAATTTAGAGTATACTGTATATATTTGTATAAAATATGTCTTAAAAATTCGTTTGTTAGAAATAGTTGTGGTTCCTGTTGGATATTTAAGTATACAATGATGAAATGATTTTGTTAATACATATAATTCTAAAACCTATTTGGTTGTTTATGACTTGAAAGTGCACCTGCTTGTAATGGGGGTTGTGGGAAAATCAACAAATTGACATCGCACTGCTTTATTTCTGTTTTAACAGAAAGTATTGGGGAAGAACAGTATGAGAAACAAATGTATCTGTAGGTTTTTCATCACGTGTTTGTTGTGCTGATTTGTTATATATGTTGATGCTAAGGAGAGAGCCAGAGATGGAGGAACTATTTGTAGTTGTTCAAATTTACATCTAATAAAGTAATAATTGAGAAGCTTTGTTAAATAGTTGCAATATTTTAGAGGTAGACTTTGATGCTTTCAGGTGGAATGGTTTTTGTGAATGTTCGTATATTGTATTCAAATTTTCTTTTTCTTGCCTAAGAAACATTTGTTTGTATTTTATCATAGGGTAAAGTGGCTTGAGGTTTGGTTGCTAAAGGGTAGATGCCCTTCAAATGCTGAATTGATATTTAAAAATATAATTTTGGTTAAAGGATTATCATTAATTTAAAAAAGTGTGCTTGAAACTGAGAAGCTGTTGCTTTTCACAAGAAACAGAAGTATGCTGTTGCGAATATACTAAAGCCAAAGAATTCTCATGAGCATGGTTGTGAGTTACTACTTACAGCTGGGACTTCTAATACAAAGTTTCTTAATATTTATAGCCAACTTGAACTTGAAAACCAACCAAAGGAACACTGTCAAGGATTGAGTATTGTCTATATTTGATATTTTAATGTGGATTAAAAGTTATGTTTTTAAACATACTGAGCTACTAACATCTTTAAATTTGAATCATCTTGAAAATTTTGGATGCAATCAGTTTGTATTTTAAAATTCAGGTACACCCTAAAATCTTAAGTAGTTGACAGTGTGCTTTAATGAATTATTGACCATTTATTATACATGCTTGTCATAGTATATATGCACTCTGCAGTATACTAGTAACCAAATCTCAATGTCCATTTGTAGACAAGAACGTTAGTTACACAGTATAGCAATGTATCAGCTTGTAAGTTCAGTGTAGGATCTAATAACACATTTTATATGATGGACTTTCAAGTGAGGGACTTCATCTTACATTTGAAGTGGACACTCAGCTTTATTTTTAACTGCCAGTTAATAAAGATAATCTGTTATTTCTTTTGGACTATAATTTAACCTTCCATATTTTTATTTTTGTTTCTTTTGCATATTCATTTCATAGAACAAACTTGTTTCTAACACTAAAAATAAGGGACCAAAAAAATCAGATTACTTTATTTTAGGTATTTTACTTTTCATTGAAATAGTTGCTTATCTATAAGCTATTGATCAGCTATCGTAAAAGTTCCTATATTTTCAAATAACATCTTTATGCTTCAGTTTGACTTTAAGAAGTCACAGGTGTGCGTGTGTGTGTGCACGTGCACATGCCAAAAGTTAGGTCAGGTAGACTTACGTGTCTTGATTTTTATTTCCTGCATGGAAGAATACATTCGGTTCCACAAATGTAACCATTTTGATGTATTTTTCAGAGTTGGCCCTTATCAGTAGGTGTCCATTTCATTCCATTTGTTTCTTCTTGTCTTTGTGGTTATGTTTGTTGGTTACGGGAAGATTGTGGGTTTTTTCTCCCCCTTTCTGTCAGTAGTTTGTTAGGAAGGCTAACTTGGACCTGTAGTATCCATTTGAAAAAAATAATATTCCTGTGTGAATAGTTGATGCATCAGTATTAAGAAAATATGGTTAGAATGTGCAGGAAATATCTAAAACTCAAGGAAGGATGTTAAGAAAGCATGTTCTAGGGGCTGGGGGTTTAGCTCAGTGGCACAGAGCCTGCATGGCAGGCTCAAGGCCATGAGTTTGATTCCCAGTACTGGAAAAAAAAAAAAAAAGAAAGCATGTTCTAGTCTTTGGTGTCAAGTTTCAAATTTGGAGCTGATGATTTAGGGATAATGGAACCATAGAGCTAAGTCTTTGGTTATAAGTAGAAGATAACATTTCCTCATAGTCTGTAAAGTTAGTAAGTTTAATGTACAAAAGCTTCATGTTTGACACTGTAGCATTGCGTTGATACTTATAGCAGTGGTCTCAAAGAGGTTCTTTAAAACTTTAAATGTAGACTCCAAAATTATTTATCTTCTTAACTGGTTACCTTGTTACGTACAGCATGTAAGAGTCAAGTTGAATCTTTTGAGATTTAAATAATTTCCACAGAGGATAGTTGATTAAACTACATATTATGTTCACAGACATGTTTCATTGCTGTCTCTCTTTAAGTAATTCATACTACCTTTTGAGACGCAAAGAAAGATATAAATATGAATGAAAGCCAAGGGACTGACTGTCAATTTTTCCAAAGTGTAAATTTTAGCCAAATTCAATAAATCTGTACAGGATCACCTTGAAGTCTCTGGATATATTTCCAACCAAAATAATGTAGCTTTTGTATATTTTAACTAGAAATTTATAAGCAATTCTCAAAAATAGATGTATTAAAACTTAGTTATGACCAAGATAAATCAGAATACAGATTTTGGAACCAAGCACACTTTGGTCATTGCCGGAAGTAAGTGATACTAGACCAATCATTTTATCCCTTTAGAAGTGTTTATATTTGAGTTTTGACTGTGTATTTGCTTGAGAATCCATATTCTTGGAGAAAAGCAGATTTCTAGGTCCTGCCCAAGACCAACTAAACAAGAATTTCTATAGAAAGACTGAGAAATCTGTATAATTAACAGATTCCCAGGCAGTTGTAATACATATTCTTGAGCTTAAGTCTGGTTTATTTGTAATTTAAGGGATAATATCTATCTGAGATGATTGCTGACAGGATTTTAGATCATGCACATGGAGTGTATAGCCTCGTCCATGTATTAGCTGTCAGTTGTAGTTACAATATACTAAGACAGGGACCCACAGATGTTTTTGGCAAGAAACTGAAATGGTACATCTTTTAGACAGTGGGCCGAACCATAGTTTTCAATGTAATTATTCTACTCTATGTTACAGCATAAATAAGGCCATAGACACCTCATAAGTAAATGATATGTCCATGTTCAGATAAGACTTTACTTCCAAAGACAGGTGTGCCAGCTCCTGTATTGTTTATAGCCTGCATTTTATCGAATGTATCAGATTATGAAAAGGTAAAAGTTGGTTATAACTAGTAGAAGTAGACTTACAACTTTGAGATGACAGTTTGGTTTGTCCTTAGCAGCAACTTTAGTTTTCAGTGATTAAAATTTTAAAAGTGTATATGTATGAGGATATTTGTGTGTGCATATACATATTTATACATAGTGCACACAGAGTAAGCACCTTGTTTGCATTTCCACACGCACACCTCCCAGGGACTGATGGGCACCACAGGAGGAGTACTGCCGCTGCGTGCCCTGAGCCCGCTGGAGGATGCCTGGGTTTGTTTAGAGCTGATGATAGCGGTCAGGTTTTTCAGAGGTGAAAGTGAGTGCGTGGAATTCAGTGGTTGGGAAACAGTGGCTTTCCTTGCCTTCAGTGAGATGTCCCCAAAAGATAGGAAGGGAACACTTAATGAGATGAGATAGATTTGGAATAAATTCTGCTTTTGGTTTCAGATAAGACTTTACTTCCAAAGACAGATAGTGAGCTGGATTTGGCCTGAACGTGCAGTGTGCCAACTCCTGTATTAAGTAGTTCTTGCTCCAGAACTGTAAGAGTTGACAAACATCTTTTACATTAATTACTAATTTAGTAGACTTATAGTAAGTGAATTAGAGTATTATTTATTGACTGACTTCAAATCTAATATTTTAACTTTCAACTAATCTTTTATTGACATCTCAGAAGTAATAGCTAAAGCTTTTGAGATTTCTGTCTCATATCTTAATGCTTTTGTCAGATTGTTTATTATTCTGATGGCTTTTGGTGGTTCTCTCTCTTCCCCCATTTCTTGTAAAAGCCCTTATGAGGAGCTGATAGCTGAGCACACTGGCACACACCCATATTTGTTGTTACTTGGGAGGCTGAGGCATGAGGACCACAAGTTTGAGACCAGCCTGTGCAACTTATTAGCATGACCCTGTCTCAAAAAGGAAAAAAGTCTGGGGCTGTAGCTCGTTGGTAAATACAGCCTAGTTTGTTTGAGGCCTTGAGTTCAACCCTACAAAACAGACATATATTAAAAAAAAAAAAGAAAGAAAACAAAGGAAAGAAAGGAGGTACTATATAAATTCAAGTTTCAACAGTGGAGGTCTCTATTTTCTTTGTCATCAAAGTACAAGAAGCTGATTTATATTCTGTAAGGAAATGCAGATGAGTGGAAAAGGAAAGCTTTTTCTTGGATTTACACAGTAAATCAGATTTGTAGAGATTTACTCCATATAAACAGAAAGTGGACCAGTCATCCTTGCTTGTCACTTGGCTCTGTTGTCCACTCGGTAATTATTAATGCAAGGCATTGTTGATTTAGAATGTTTGTCATTTGTTTTATTTTAAAATTTAAATAAATAAAGATCAGTGTTACTAAGAAGTTTACAGATGACTCAGAATATCCATGGTAGGCTGAGACCTGTATACTCCTTTACAGAACTAGCCTTGAGAAATATTTACCTATATAAACAAATTAAATATATTTACTGATGGAATAATTAAAATATGTGCATGACCATATAAATACGTTTGTGTATAAAACAAATGGATTCATATTCATGTGTAGCTGTCTCCCTGCTTGGAGTACCTCCCCATACTCAGCAGAAGAAGTCACCACAGTGTTTGATACAAATGTATACAAAGACCGGAAAAGTAGTTTGAATAAATGAGTGTACATACCTGATAATCTGCTTTTCTTTTCCTATACATTCTGAAAATTTTCAAACAAAATTGAAAAGAATTACAGTGTATTCACCTGTGTACCTGACTCTAGAGTTGTTGGCAAGTTTGTGCTTTATCACATCATTCCATCTGTCCGTTTATTAGTTCATCTTATTTTTTTTTATGTATTTCATAGTGAGTTGCAGACATCAGTGACATTCATGCCTCAACGTTCAACATGAATAACATGGAGTCAGGATTCCATTAGAGTGTAATATATAAGTCTTAAGCACACCAAGGTGAACATAGTGGCTGATGTGTGCCTATAGTTCCAGGTACTTGAGAAGCTGAGCACAGCAGTTTAGGCCAGTCTGTAACTTTGTCACTTTTCAATGAACAAAAAAGCTTAAACATACAATTCAATAAATTTTGACAAATGTGTACATCCCTGTAATTCAGACACCTGTAAAAGGTGTAGAACATTTTTATCAACCAAGAAAGTTTCCCATACTTTTCTGAAGGAGAATCTTAAGTTTGTGTTCATAATCTGGACCACTAAGTTAGCAAAAGATAATATCCTCCTAACTGAGGTAATACGAAACACAAATGAATTTAAAAACTCTGAGAGACCTAAAATTAGAACTCATTTTTTTTAAAACAAATGCATTCGGGCCTTCTGTATTCAGCCATATATTTTGATAAGAATGATAGAAAATACCACACTTTTTGTATTTCCCCCTTTAAACATATATTCTCATATCTCAGCTTTCTCTGCCAATCCTCCATTTAGTCCACTAGTTTTTTGAATCCTTCTTACATGCTAGGAGTTAATTGCTCTGATTTACATGGTGAAAGTGAAAGGGACCTTGTCTTTCCCTGTGTAAGGGAGAAAATGTCAGCTAACATTAGTATGACCGTAGTTACTTTTCTTATTATTCTTTCCTCTTGCCTAAGAGCAGAACAGATGAGTTGGAAAGATTTTTAGGTTTACACATTGACTATTTTACTTTTCATTTTCATTTCTTTCTCCTTGACAACAAAAGAATCCAGAGATGTGTCATGTGATAAATTATATAGCCATAGGTAATAAGTGACTGTGTTTTTGGTTTTAAAGTACTTTTAAAATTTGAAGACTTTTTAGTATACTGTGGTTGGAACAGTTGCACTCAGTGTGTGGATTTTTATTACTGTAGTGCAGATATAGAGGAAATAGTTTTAAAAAACTCCAGAATATAGCCTTTGAAAATTTATGTGTTAATCATATCCTTTACCCACTATGTGTTTGTCATTGTGCTAACTATATAAGGATGAACAGTGGTAGGCGTTAGTCCAGTGAATTTGTACTTTTTAGAGGCCAAGGGTCCCTTGGGGACCTTGCAAATAGAAATTCCTCCTTTAGAAGTAATATATGCATAACACTGTAGGGAGTAGGCTCATTGCCCTCCACCCTTGAAACCTCGGTTCATGGGCAATTCTAGAATCAAAAGCGACACTTATAGGAGAAAAATAATGTTTCTCTTGATAGGAAAGTATTTTCCAATACTGTAATTTGATTTTTCTGGCACCCTAAATAAGGCAGTAAGCCTAATTTTACTTTGTTGCAGAAGATTAAATTTAAGGTTGAGTTCCACTTTGTTTGTAATAATTTGAAAAAGAATAGTGAATGCAGATTTTTAAACCATTTCTTTCCTTTTAAGCTTTGTGTCTTGTAAAATGTGAGTTTGCCAAATTTTCTTCATCTGCTACAGATTAGGTATGCCATTGTTGCTGCCATGTGGCGGCGCACCCCGTGCTTCTTAAACGCACTGACTGGAGGTTTATCGCATCACTTGTTCACATGCACGGAGCCTGGTAACAGCCTCATCTGTATCTTGTTAGCTTCATTTTCTTATTTTTAAATTTCATAATTTATAAACTCAACATAGCATTTAAAAATAAAGGCTAGTTTTAATGAATTAATGTTATTACAAAAAGTCATTGCTAAAGTTGTCATGCTGAAACAGATTTTGTTAAAATGGTCTGTGTTTTAATTAAATTGTATTTACAGGCAGGCATGTTTTGAACCTGCCATTTTAACTATCTTTGCCAAATTCTAACTATAATTTGAAAATTAAAACTGAAATTGAAGCTTTTATTTATGTGGCAAAAGTAAGCTTCAAGACTGGGCTGTGTATTTTTATTGGCTTGTAACAGTTGATATGAGCTCTACAAGAATTTGTTTTTAAAGAGCTAAAGCAATCAACAGCTGCAATTTTAAAAGTTAGGTATTAAAACTGTTTAGTAGGCTCAGGTGTGTGCCTTGATAAATCTTGTATCCTGATTGATTGAAGGCTTGTGGATAGGTATGTCTGAGTCACTGTGTTTGGTCTTTTACTTATTGACAGTTTCATATGGAGAATTCATCTTATTTTGTTAAACTAGCATTTTCCTGTGAAAAAGTAATGCTTACTAAAAATAATTTTAAAAATAGAACAACAGAGAGTCACTTGTCTAACATTTGTAATAAAACCAGCTAAAACGTTTTGTTTTTGTTTATTTTCATTCATTTTTTTCTCTCGTTCAGTGTATGTTTCTTTTTCTCTGTAGGCATATTTTAATAATTTGAATCATGTCAGCTAATTTAGTGTCCTTTTCATATGGCATTTTTAATTCCTTAATTTTTAGTTTTGAAAATGAGATGTTTTTCGTGGCTTTCAGTTTGTTTGATTTTCATGGTTGCAAGTATTTTATCGTGTTGCACCCTCATTCCTTATAACTTCTAGAAAAGAAGTTTTAAAACATACTCCATTCTGATTTATTTATGTAGAATACTGTTCTGGGAATTCAAGAATATAATAGTTGGGGTTAAATTTCAGTGATGATTTATTCTCACCAACATTTAAAAATACAACATTTATTGTAACAGTATGCATTCCGTTTTGCTAACTGAGATATACTTTGGTCCTCCTTGCTTATTTTTTTACTCCAGTGTGACTTTTTAAACTTTTTCTTGGTGCCGGGATGTGAACCTCGGGCCTTGTGTACATGAGCAAGTGCTGTCACGCGCTGCACGTCACCAGCTCTTTACTGTTACTCACACAGGTTTAGAATTATATGAAATAGTTACATTTTTAAAAAAGTTGTTGCTTTTATGTAAAACCTTCCATTTTCCGTGATTTTTTGTCATATAATTATTTTTTCTGTTCTTTGAATATCAGTGTATAGTACTTCCCTAACTAAAACTTACAAATCTATATCAAAGCATTATAGTTCATAGGCTGCTTTATTTGACCAATGCCCGTGTGTGTAACCACTGTGTCTGTTCCGTGACCTCACAGGTAGGGTAACCAGAATTGTTACACATTTTCTCAATGTAAGCCGCTTAGAAATTACTCGTATAGTCCTCTCTGTTCATTTAAAATTTTGTACCCTATAAGCCATGATACCTAAGTGTCGACAGTGACTCATGTGAAATTTTTTCATAAAGATCTATTCCTGGTGTAGCCAGTGACATTACTTTTTTAAAAATGTGTTACTTTTTTTTTTTTTTTTTCTTCTTTTTTCCCTTTTTGGCTATGTAGAACCTGTATCTTGTCAGGTAAAGCCCTACTCAAAATTGAAAAGTTCCAAAATAGGAGTACTTCACTTGTCAGGGAGAATAAGATTATCTTTGGAGAATAATAGTGAAGTATATAGTATATATGTAGCAACATTTAGAATGGGAATCGTAGTTCATGTAACATTTTCTCAAATTTATAAATATTGAGACAAAACTATGTCATTCTTTTTAAAAGATGAAACTAGCACATTACTGCTGCTCAGATACGGAAACCTAGTTGTGTAGCTTTCCTGGTAAATAGAAGAGTATGGTAGGAACTAACTTCTTAAATTGGTGATATTCTGAAATTCATCAGCAAGTATTACAGCATTGTGCTTCAGATTTACAGAATACAAGTCTTTCAGAATTTGTATTTTATTTTTGTATGTAGATAAATTTGTTAATTTACTGTTGGGCATCACAGATTAAGTTTTTGTTAAAATGGCATAGACTATTCACAGTTTTCAAAGACACTTACGACTCATTAAACTTGAAGTTTTAAGTTACTGATGCCCCCGTGTGGTGGAAAACATATTTTGCTTTTGTTAGAATCTGGGGAGTGACTGTTAGTTTTTTCTTAATAAAGTGGTCATTAGTGTTGATGAGAAGCTGTTGATCAGGAGACAGAGTTTGAATTTTGTAAAGCTCATTGCCATAAAATTCACAGCCTTACCGTGTATTGTCTCAGAAGTGCATGTAACCAAGCACATACATTGAGACAAAGTATTGGAAGCTATTTAATTACAAATAGCATAGGGATTTTCTCACCTTATCTGTGATTTCTTAGTATCTTTGTGTTTGTGTCTCACATAGGTGATGTACAGTTCATTGATTATGAATATTCTGGATACAACTACTTGGCATATGATATTGGAAATCATTTCAATGAATTTGCAGGTAAAATCGAATGCTTCAATAATGGGAGTAACTTAGTTAACTTTGAAATGGTATTTTCAGAATTATTTTTTCTTCTTAAAAGATCAGCTGGCAACAGAAGCAACTTTCACCTTTTTTGGTTTTCACTTATTACTGGAGGAAACAGATTACCAAAGGTTCTTCCATAATTGCCTTCATAAAATAATGACTAGGAGAAAAACGATGATTGCGGCTTCTGTTGAGACTTCAAAGTGCTAAGAGTTGGACCTAATTAGCTGTTGTTTAAAACCCTTTGATGGGGTTGAAGGGCATAATTCAGTGGTAGAGTATTTGCCTAGTATCTTGAGGCCCTGGGTTTGCTCCCTAGCCCCGGAAAACAAAGCAAGCAGTTTCTGTTGTTACACTTGTACTTTTGAAATGTCTTTTTTAAAAGCTTGATTTCTTAAACATTTTGGTTAGATGATTAAAATGTTAGTAATTTTTACTCCTGAATATTAATCTATAATCATGAAGTACAAAAGTTTAGTTGCTTTTATGTAAGTAAAATTAACTTAAAGCTCATTTTAATGCTCTGTATTTAGAAACATGAATTGTTCTATAACTATTAGGAAATTCTCTTGGATAGTTTATACCTACTAGAAATACTTCATTTCTGAACTTGTATTTGTGCACATTCTTTTATTTATGTGTTTTTATATATTTAAGGCTTGCAAACAAGTAAGTTGGAAAAAAATTTTGATTGACACATTGCCAGTTATTTTCTTCCACCGCGCTTACTATATACAGGTCATAACTCCATATATATGCCACTTTTTTCTTTTTTAATGTGGCACCTACTGGGAATTGAACCCGGGGCCTTTGCACTGGGCTGCACCACTCCACCTCTTTATATTTTTGGGACAGGATCTTGTGAAGTCACTAAATTGCTCAAGTTAGGCTTGACCTTGAGATCCTCTTGCCTCAGCCTCCCAGAGTGCTGGGTATGTTACAGGCCTATGGTACCATGCCTGACTGCTGCACATATTTTCCTATCATTGTAAGAGGGAAAGCCAGCTATGCATATAATGTGATAACAACCATATTAGTGACATAGACAGTGTTGTGGATATGAACAAGCAAACTACAGTGATCTTCCAGCAGTTTTATAGAGAAAAAAAATTGAGCTAAAATTTGAAAATTAGGTACAATTTGAATATTCAAATATAAGAGAAAGGAAGATTACTACAAGGCAGAGGAAAAATGTTTAAGAGGAGTTTTTTTGTAGGTACAGTATAAAATTGCTGAAGGAGAAGAAAAAGTTGTAAGATTAGAGATGTTTAGTAGACCACTTTATGAAAACCTTAAATACCACAAAAAATAGAACTGTATCTTCTACATCTGTATTTTTTTTAACTATGGATCATGAAATCAAATTTGTGGGATGATTTTTTTAAATGAAGGAATGAAAAAATAGGAATAGAAATATCAGAGTTGGAAGATAGAGTATGTATTGTTTTGTGAAACATAATAACAGGTACATATATAAGGTCTCAGTAAATATGTATTTCTTATGCAGATTCATGCTCAAGAAATTTTAGAGCCACAGTTTGAGGTTTTAGAGCCAAACTATCCTCTTAGTATGCTGGACTCTCCTAGGTATTTGCTGAATAGCAGATTTGGAGCTTTGGATGTAGAGGTTCAAACTACGCACTGTGAGGAAAAATTGAACCAGTGAAAACTGGTTATGGTAATGAACAACGATGTGCCTTAGAGTTTAAACTGGAATACAGAGTGAGTTATTATTTTAGTAAGTGCTATTTAACATCTCCTATTGCAGTCAGAAATGAAGAGATTTTGTTAGGTTTTTATGAAAAAATGGTGGTGGTAATGATGATTAAAGTATGTAGAAGAGTGTGTGTTTTTAAAACTACCCATGTATTTTTTTCCCTCAAGGTGTAAGTGATGTGGACTATAGTCTTTATCCAGATAGAGAGCTACAAAGCCAGTGGCTCCGTTCTTACCTTGAAGCCTACAAAGAATATAAGGGTTTTAGGACCGAAGTTACGGAGAGGGAGGTAGAAGTACTCTTTATCCAAGTCAATCAGTTTGCACTGGTAAGTTCAAATGTAAATAGTGATTCCTAATATAGCAGTATTTTGTTTTGTGAATTTTTGTTCAAAATAATGAAAAAATAAATGCTTATTTACAGTTTATCCCATTGCCTTGCTTTTGAGAACAGAACTGTGGTTTCATTCAGTATTATCTCCACAGCCTGTACACTGGTGCTTGGCATCTGGTAGGTGCTCAGTAGTAATTTGTTTAACGAGTGAATGGAAGTTAGGGTTAGTATATAAAGCTGTTTCTTGTATCTGTTTCTTTACACTATGAAAACAGGAAGATTTACGGGAAACGAGCTTTTCCACAGTACAGTTAGTCATCACATCTCAATGCTAGAAGTAGATTGGAAAAACTAGTAGAATTATATTTCATGACCGGATCATTGTATTGTCTTTGTGACTTTTCTCGATACAAATAGTTCTCTTCCTGTGATTATGTTAATACTTTCTTAGTTCCAAAATCTACTTCTTTTTATGGGTTTTTAATTTGAATTAATTTCATTTAATTATTATTTTTAATTACAATACTAGGGATTGAACCTGGGTGCTCTACCACTGACTCACATCCCCAGATCTTTTTTGAGACAAAGTCTTGCTTAGTTATCTTTTTTGAGATAAGGCGGGCCTGGAACTTGCAGTACTCTTGCCTCAGCCTCCTGAGTAGCTGATGTTACAGGCATGTGTCCACCATGCTTGACTCATGTCCTTTTGTTTTTTAAAAAACATACTTAAATTCTCTGAGGATAAAGTGATACATGAGCATTCAGCTAAGGTATTAAAACAGTTAAATTGAATCCCAAGCATTTATTTTAGCTCTTTATAAGTTTTAGTACAGTTTTGTGCAGCTGACATGGGGAATATTTGCCTGGCTGTCTTTACAAAATAGACCCTTTTGGTGGCCCACCAATGTTTCGGTCCGTAATCTTAACCGCAGTAAGCATTTCCCCTGAAACCACTCAGCGTGCATCTCAAGTAAGAGTTCGTGCTGTAATGTGCCTTGACCTGCTGTTCTCATCCCTAGCTTCAGTAGAACTGTTGGTTCAGTTGATGACATACTCGCTAGCCAGTCGTACAGTGCCTACTGTTTCTGTGTATTCTATTTAAGCGTGAACTTCAAGTAGACAGTGCAGGGTTTTCTTTCCCATTAGGTCACTTAAGGAACTTCAGAGTCAATGCTGCTATTTAGATGACTTCTGTTTTAACAAGAGGAATATTATCACTGCCATAATTTGCATTTTTCTTTGTGCTCATTTAATTTGTTTCTTTCATAAGGCATTTATCTTATTAATTTCTACATAACTAATTCTTAGTTAACAGTCCACTCCTTGCTTTTAGAAAGCTAAATTGGATTTAGTTGTAAACATTTGTGTTTAACATCTTTTTTTGGATACTGTGGTCATTATCTGTACATGGTATTAAAAGTACAGTTTCTTCTGGTCTGATCACCAAGTTCTTTATAAATATTCATTAATTAGGTATTAAGAACACATTGTTGAGCTAGGTTAAGTAGATTGGAAGCAACTGAATTCCTTCAAAAATGCTTATAATTTAGAAGGTCAAATGAGACATACACAGTAACTTTTGGGGGGGTAATATTGAACACTCATTTCTATTTAAAATGTGCAGCAAATTGGAATCAGAAGAAAATTCAGTTAACCTAACTTAAGAACAAGATATCTTTATGAAAGGTAAATACATTTATAAAATATGTCATATATTCGGTAAAAGATCTGATAGGAAAAGGATAAAGGGCAGTTGGTAGACCCCAGACTTAAAACTCTTAATATTCCTCATAGCATGTGCTCTGAGTTTATATACGCTTAGCTTTTGAGTAAGCATTATATCGTGAGTTTATTATGTACTGTGAGGATCTGATATCAGTTTCTAGTTCTTTCTCATTAATAAACCATTGAAAACATTTATTCAGCTAGTTTTTGTTTTAATTTCTTTTATTTTATCAAAATTCTGTGATCGTCTTTTGTGTGCTTCTTTGTCTTTTCTTTTCTTGCATCAGGACCCTCCCTCCTTGTTATCCTCAGGTAGAAAGGATATTGGCCGCAAGCGGGGTGTAGCTTGTTTGTAACCAACAAGATTACCTTCTTTTCTTTCTAAGTCTTAATTTCATTCCCAGGAACATCACTAAGTACATGTCACATCTCAGGTGTTCGGAGGAATACTTTATCGGGAATGTAGAATGAAATAATAGCAAACCTTGTCTTCTTTATTTTCTTTCATGCATGCTTTGAACAGCTGCAGTCTTGCCTTTTCCTTTACTATAAAATGGTTGTCAGTAATGACATAGTTGCTATAAAATAAATTCAGTGTAAGCTTATTAGTCCTGATCTAATGTGATCATAGATGCCATCTGACGGTGTCTTGCTTGATGTGACCATGAGTACCATTCGACAGTATTAGTCATTGATTCTTAAAGTTTTCTTTTATTTTTGTGATGGATTCCCACTCTAGACAGTGAAAATAAGTAGACATTCAAATGGTGATTCCATGAATCATTGTGTATTGCCGTACAAGGAGAATTTTCTTCCTCTAAGTTTCACAGTACTTAAAGAGGGGGAGAACAGTGTAAACACGTCTCTCAGGGAGCGTGTTCAGTAGATGGGGTACATTCACCATATAGTGATGAGTTCCAGAATTATTCGAGTGTAGTCGCTCTGTCAAGATGAGAACAGGCGTCAGAGGAAAGCAAAGTCTAAGTAAAGACTGAGGTGTTCCTTTCTGCCTGTGGTTTCATGGGAGCCACTAGTGAGAGACCGTGTGAAGCTCAGTAGTATGAAAAAACTGAAATTGGTATCATTAATAGAGACAGCAGTGAAAGCCTTGAGACCAGATCACCTCGGGAAAGTAATCAAAGGTGAAAGGAGGGGGCTGTCGCTGGCCAGAACTCAAGAAGTACTCACATGTGAGAGGTATGGGGAAGGAAGAATGAGGGAGCGAGGAAACGGTGCTGGGCAGGAAGGCACGGAAACAAAAACCAAAAGCGAATTTGTTACGTAGGTTTGCATTCAAATGCTGACATAGTTTGCCGTGTGGATGATGCGTATTTTTGTTGGCGTGATGTGGAGTGCACTCCTAGTCCCTTCAAGAATGTGAAGAGCATGTAGTCACAAGTGCAAGGATAGCCTGAGCAACTTAGCAAGACCCTGTCTCAGAAGTTTTAAAGACTGCTGGGGAGGGTGGATATAGGCTCAGTGCAAAGGCCCTGGTTCAACCCCCAGCAGTGTGCGCACACACACCCCTCCACCAGGAGATTCACATATCCATGACTTTCAGATGTGAGAGAAATAATGCAAGTAAATTGCAGAGGATAGTGTTTTATTTGCAACTAAGTTTGCTTTTTGGAAATGCAAATCATGAATTGAGCCGAACTGCCGACTTTCTGGTGCTTCTGTTAAGAGTCTAATATATATATGAAGCTACTCTGTATAAGAAAAGAGTTTAATACAGTATATAAGAGATTAGGTACCATCCAGATAATTTTGTGTTACTTAAAATGTGCCAATGTGATTTAGATCAGTGATTCTCAAATATTTTAATTTCAGGAATTTTTATACTTTAAAAAAATTTTGAAGACCTCTGCGAACCTTTGTTTATGCAAGTTGTCAGTATTTACCACATTAGAAATTAAAACAAAAATTCAGAGTGTTCACTGAATACATGTACTAAGCTTATTACATGTAAGATAAATACCACTTTTTTAAAAACAAATTTCTCTAAACAAAAATTTATTAAGAGCATTATTTGTGCAAATTTCTTTAATGTCTGCCTGAACTGAAGACAGGTTCTCTGGTCTGTTTCTCCATTCCATCATTGTAGTGCAGATTCAATGCTTCAGCTAAAGTGTATGGGAAAATAACTTCACATACATATATTTTTGGAAAGAGGAATATTTTAGCTTTGCAGATAATTATGTATATTCTTCTTGATACTAAGCAGAATTTGACCGATTGTTTTTTGAGGTTGCAATGTGTGATTTGAACATAAGACCTTTTTTACTTTGTTACCTTAAAATTCATTGGTTTACTTGGACAGGCTATTGTGCATGATTTTGTGATTTTAACATTAATTATTTGGGAAATATACATTTAATTTTGTAGGTCTGCCAAGCACTGACACATCTTACGTGATAGCAAAAACCTCACATACACTGATATCACTACCACTGTACCAGAAGTTTATGGTACTATAGTAAGCTGTTAAGCTCACAAAATCAATATAATTTTTCTCAGATTCCAATTTTTAGGTGAAAACTCAGGTTTTATCATTGGCACAAGTGTTATCAGTTATTTTCATTGAAATGACAGCTTCTTTTTTTATATTTAAGAAAACAGGGGCTGGGGATTTAGCTCAGCGGCAAAAAGTGCCTGCCTGGCATGCGCAAGGTCGTGAGTTCGGTTCCCGGTACCGGAGAAAAACAAAACAAACAAACAAAAAAAAAAGAAAACATATACTTTAGGGTAGAAATTTAATACAATTAATAGTTTTAATGACCTTATATTGGTTTCAATTTTTAACACTGACAAAAAAGAAAACAAAGTACTGTGTATGTAATTGATGAATAGGATAGAATTAACAGTTTGTTTTACAAAGAAATGTATTATCATTAGTCTTTGTTTTTCTTTTCTCCTTTTAAGGCTTCTCATTTCTTTTGGGGATTATGGGCTTTGATTCAAGCCAAATACTCCACTATTGAGTTTGATTTCCTTGGGTAAGTTTAATTTTTTGCATGGATTCCATTTGTCTCTATCTTTGTTTGAATTAACATTTAGAACTGATGGGGAACGTTGTTGTTATTATTTGATCATGTTCTAAAGGCTGCTGCAGTTGGAAATGATCTATAAAGAATTTGGTACACTGAAGCTTGTTCAGTGCTCTCAGTGCTAGAAAACTGTCCAGTAGGTGGTGCAATAAACTAAAAATCTGTCCTTTAGAAACACAGAAAGCTCAAAAAGTGCGTGAAAATAAAGAAAATTTAAGTTTTTCGACTTTCACTAATGTTGTTGTCATTCTGTTTTCTCACTAGGTATGCAATCGTTCGTTTTAACCAGTACTTTAAAATGAAGCCTGAGGTTACTGCATTAAAAGTGCCTGAGTAAAGAAGATAATTCATTAATTCCCCAGTAGCTGAGTGATGGTTGTGAATTTTTTCTTAAGAAATTCCAAAAAGCCAATATTCATTAAAATTCTGTTACTTAATTTGGTTATTTTGCTTTACAAATTATGCCTCGAGAAAATCAATCTTACTTTTAAATAGACTGAATGATGTCAAGAATTATACCTATTGCTGTTAGAATGTGGTGGATTAGAGATTTCTTAGATCTGCAAAAGGTATAAAGATGTCAGTTTAAGCCTTTCTCTCATAATTTATGTCATGTGGGTTATTTATTATAAATTTAACATGATTCTGTGACTGCTTTCATCAGCGTCCTCTTGTTAAGTGTATACGTGTCAGAGTTTTATGTGAAGAAGGTTGATTTTAGAAAACGATTCTGGTTGTTCAGTGTAACCTTTTTGTTTTGATTCACCATGGGTGAAATGCATCATTTACTTTTGAAATGCCAGTCACTGACGGGTATAGATAATTCAGGATGGTCACATGGAACTGTGGGTTCGGGAGGAAGGAATGCATTCACTGTCTTTGTTATTGATACATCTTTTTAAATTGAACATTGGAAAGCATTTCTTTTGGGGGGGAATACAATGTAGAATTAAATTCTTGTCTATGTAGTCCGGCAATATGAACATTTACCACATAATCTTCAAATAAGTATAAAGGTTGTTACCAAAATCTGTATTGAAAAATGTATCCAAAATGCTAAATGTGGTCATTTAAGTTACTAGTTTGTTGTACCTTATCAAATTGTTTCTAATCAAAAATTGTGTTTTACTTGAGATGCGTTCTTTGTATTAAATAATAGTTTATATTGCTGATTTTTCAGACAAGTACTCAAAATTTATCATACTTGAAAACAAGAAGATATTATTTAGATTAAGGTTTTAAAAATCTATTCATTTTTTATGTCCTAGTTTCAAGTTTTAGTTTGTTATTTTGTCTTTCGTGTGATAGTGATGTCTTGATGCATGTAATGTCAGAGTAATACTTTGAGGCAGTTAAAAGAATCGAATAAGGATTTAGGATACATTTAGGGTAGTGGTCTTATACACTTAAAATCTGAAAAATAACAAAATGTGAATTAAGCAGTACTCATGGTAGGAGGGCTTTTTTTGCTTTGATTGATTGTGTTTTTGTTTATATATTTTGTTTTGTGTAGGGGTAAGAGGGGAGCAGTTGTATGGGAGGAAGTTAGTGCTTTGGAATAGTTAAGAAGGCTTCAAGCTTAGAAGACTGCTGTGTGAAGTTGAGCAGTCATGGTTAACTTTACTTAGAAAATTAGTCTGACAAGCTTTGCACTTTGGTCACGTAAGTGCTCATGTACAAAGTTAGCTTAATGGATCTGCATATTTCAAGTATGCGACTACAGATTCATCCTCTGAGAAACCTTCTGGGGAGTCTGATGTATTATTCCAAATGACTTATGTTCTCAGACAAGTGCATTAAAATACTTGGATTATCTCAAGCTGTTTAAAGCTAATAAAGTAAGTCTAAACACTTAAAGGGCATTTTAAATGGTAAATTCTAGTTACATAAGTAGGATCCTACTATGTTTGTATCTGTAACAGTGTTAGACCAAGATTTGGTTTCTACCTCCCCAATGTTATAAATGTTCACTTCTGTTTTTATAAACCATATTACTGTAAAATTAATATAATTTTGCCTAGCTGACTAAATGAATGGAACCAATTAAATAAAAGTTAATAGCTTTTTATAATGTGAAAGTGAACTTCAGAAATTGTTTCTGGTGGAATTTTCATCTATGGTTAGAACATTATCGTGGAATGATAAAGAATATGTAATGCTTTTGATTTTTTTGCTTTCTGCCTTTTAAAATGCAAGAGTGTATATCTCGTAGAACAATGAGGGGAGGAGGAGAGATCATTTTAGTACCTTACTCAATATTCTTACTTCCACCTGTTTTGGCTAGAGATTCACAGAGCCGCTGCGTGTAGACCGTGCGTAGCTGCTAGCTGTGACACTGCTGTAACTGTTGCAGAGAGATTCATTTAGAAGCGAATGTAACCAGGAATGAAGGCCGTCAGGTTAGCTCGCCCTGAAGCATGCAGTGGATCTTGGGAACATACTAAGAAATGTAAAATAGTGCCCCCCAGTCTTTGACTGGATTTGGGGTGTTGTGATGCTCCTACTTCCTGTACAGGTTTATGGGATCATGGTGCAGACCAGTAATAGAGTTCAAATTACTTCCCTTTATATTGACCATTAAAAGATTCTAAAGGAGGGTAAATCTCAACAACACCCTGAATTCATCCTTCTGAAATTCGACCTATGGCTTGCTGAGATATCAGTTGCCTTTTTATTAAAGCTGAGGAACTTGAATGCCTTACCTAATCACTCAACTGGTAGTAAGCTCATTTTGTAAATAGGAAAATGATTGTTAGACGTGGCATTCATGTTTGTTCAGTGTTAGTCAGTAGACCATAGTGGCCTGGATGCTTTAACAAGCAAAATTCCACATCCTCTCCCTGTTTTCCCCATGCATACATTTATGATTTTATCTGACACATAAGATTTGATTTTTTCTCTCCTAATCCCGTGCTGCCACCATTTTCTGGAAGTCAAAGTGACATGGTAGTAAATCATTCGTTCACATGATCATCTGAGATCAATATGAGCACAAAACTCATCAACTAGGTCTGCCTGGATGTATATACGACAGTGTAAATAAAAATTTGTAAATTATTGTGAATTGTATCTTGCATATGAGATTGTGTGTCGTTTTGGATTCTCTTCTCTTTTGTAGAAATTTTTCTGTCAGGAAATGATCCAGCTTGTTGGTTTTAGACTGGAAATAGCCAACAACAGTTCTGGCTGCACAGTGAGATAACAGGAACTGGAAATAGGGTTTATCAGCTTTGGTCAGTGTCTGTACTTATTTATTTAGCCTCTCAGTGCCTGATAAGACTTTTCTCCATTTGTTAGTTGCCATTAATTTTTGTGAGGTTAGATTCCTGGGAGCAGTGAACTTACAGGCTGTTACTAATACCTGTCCATTCTTGGGTCACAGTTCTAAGCTAAGACAAACTATATATGATGTAATGATTGCACGCTGAAGTATTATTGTTTCTCACTTTAGGGTTATTAACATTTTCTACAAAAAACTTTGAAGTTCAGTGTGAATCTAAATCCCATATCCATAGAAGAGATATGACAAGCAGTATCTCTTACTTCAATTTATGCCTGTCTCAGATGACTTCACTAAAGTTGTGTGATTGTAAAAGACAGAAAGGATATAGGTAATCTTTTAGTGACAACTATTTCTATTTTTTGCTAAAAGTATTGTAACTCTATTAATGTATATTATTCTAGATTTCAGGAGAGTACCCCCCAAACACTCTCAATTAAAAGCTCTACCCTCCACATTTAAAAGTAATCATATATTTCTTTTTTACACAGAAGCCTTCTGTACCATTTTATGAGTTTAAATACAATGAAAGTGTCTGATTTTTTGCTTTAAGTTTTAATGCATGTTATATTGCATTCAAAAGTAATACAGATATAAACTTTTAATATTATTCAGTTGATGGACAAAGTTAACCATGCTTTGTGACAGGAGAGTTTTGTTATTGGCAGTATCTTACACAACTTTATATAGAAGGCAAATGCTAGTAATTATTGTGCACAAAGAAAAAAGATTTACAAGTATGTGGTTAAAGTAACTTTATTTCAAAATTGATTTGATCTGATTTTTCTTTGGTTCATTGTATTTCAGAATGTCCTTTTACTGAGAAACTTACTGATATGTAAGGCACTCTTTTATTTTTGATTCTTCGAAAGTGATTTGTTATATTGAGTCACTTTCTTTTCCTCCAACATATGTCACTTGTGTGATTATAGTGTTAAGTCCTGGGTTTGATGTCTTTAAACAGAAAAAATTATTTAAATCATTTCCCCCATCTTTGGAAATTGGACAGTAAATGTTGCAATAATAGAAAATACTTCAGGTTTGTATTACTTTGTTAGAAAACTGAAATTACTAAGATACTGATGAGTTAAACACTGAAAATTTTACACTGAAAATTTTTTCTTTCTGGATTGCAATGTGTTGTGGAAAGAAAATCTGACCTATTTGTGTGAGTAAAAGTAACACTATGAAAGCTCTACAAACCCTTCTGCTATCGCAAAGTTTTTAGTGTCCTTTCCTCCTGAAATTTTCTTTCTTGTCTTTCCTATGCTTTGTGTACTTAGTATACTACTGACATTATAAAACAGCAGGGTTAATATATCATTATATCTGTATTCACCAAGAATCCTATAGCTTTTCGCATGAAAAAATTGCTCTCTGAAATACCCCTATCTCATTTCTTTTTCGTTAACATTTTGCCCAGTAAGCGTGTTTGGGATTAATCACTTTAACAAAATTTAAGAGGTTCATAAAAATTGTAAACATTGTATAATTATATTTCAACTAGTCAGTAAAGAGCAAGAAATAAGCTAGCTGATTGGCATTGTAGGCTGTTAGTTAAATTTCAAAACTTTCAACAAGGAACTTTCCGAGATAGTTTGAAACCCAGTTGTGTCCTTGTAAACTAGTTCCTGTGACTTGGAAAAGAGCCCCCAAAAGCAGTGGAGGAGACGAGAGTGTTTGCTTGCCATAGTTTTAGTTGTGGTGTGTTGCTGCTAAAGTTTAGGTAGTGACATACTTAAGTTTTTATTGTTCAGTAATCTGAGGTAGTTTTCTTTATGTATCTACTAAAGTATAAATGAATGGGATCTGCAAAGAAGAAAGTTTTCGGCTATACTGTATTTAGATGCCTTTGTACAGCTAGGTCAAGTTTCCATGATACGAAGTAATTGAATTTTAAGATATACTGTCACTCTAAGGAAAAAGACATGGTATTACCCCATGTGCAAGAAAAAAAATGAGTCATTGTCATCACATTAAACTGTCTGTTGAATTGGGAAATCGTGGCATAAAGCTTAAATTTGTGTACATCAAATGTGAACTATAGTGGTATAATGCTGCTTTGTATATATAAGTGCTACAAATAGTCTCAGCACTGAACATGTATTGATACCTCTCAAATGAATGCAACCTTTGATGTGGGTGTTTCGATAAGCATCAGAAAGTATCTGAGTGTCTGAGAATTTGTTAATCTGTTTGCTAATGGAGATACTTCCTGTTTTTCATTGCATATTTTCATGTTTAAGGTTTAATTTTTACATTTTTACTGCTGTTAATTTAAGTAAAGTTAGTTCTGTGGGTAAAAAGGCATTGCCTGTGAAGAAAATTTAAAAACAGCCTCATTCATGTAACTGCTAAAGTAAAAGTACATTTTTGTTATATGTTCATGAACTTTTAATGAAGCTGTTTGTTTTTCTGTTTAAACATAAGTGATGTTTAGACTTTATTTCTGATTAATAAAGCTTTTTACCATTGATTAAATGAAGGAATGTATCTTTTTGAAGAGATTTATATTCTGTAAATAAAACTTGGTTGTAACAATAAAGTTGGGTTCTAACTACAGTGTATCCATTTTTTTTATGTCAACTTACTGATATTTTTATTTTGTGAAAGAAATACAGGAGCTTTAAAAGTAGTTTATAACAGCACAGTATGTAATGGCTAAATATTGAAAGTAGCCTAGATGTCTATCAACAGACAAATTGACAAAGTGTGGTATTTACACACAATGGAGTACTACTCTGCCATAAAGAAAAAGAAACTTGAATCACTTGTAGGAAAATGGGTGAACCTTGAGACCATCCTGTTAAGTGAAATAAATCAGACACACAAGCTTAAATGTCACATGGTTTCTCTTACATGAGAAAGGCAAATTATAAACAGCAAAATAAAATACAGACAGTAGGAACTAGGGAGATAGATCCTTCTCATAGGGGTCAGACGGAGGTGGGAAGGAGTGGAGGGAAAGAGGATGAAAAAAGGAATGAAGATGCATGTACCGACTTCACACAAAGCATGCAAACACGTGCTACTAACACAGAAAAGTGTATATTTGGAGTGATGTCATTTTCTGATTTCATGTTTTGAAAAAGTTTACTTTTGAAAATTTGAGAATGTTGCATATTACATAATTTGTGAACACATTCTGTTTAGTTTAAAAATTTGATATACTTCTGCTGGGCATGGTGGCCCATGCCTGTAATACCACCACTCGGGAGGCTGAGGCAGGAAGATTGCAGCGAGTTTAAGGGATTCCTGCCTGAATCATGTAGAGACCAAGTCTTCCCCCCTCCCCCAAAATGTATCCTCCTGACCACTCCTCTATACTGTGTGTCTTCACTATTCATTAAATTCTTAAAATGTGCAGGTACAGTGGTGATGGGTATGAAAAGATTAGTAAGGTGAACACAGCCTTCGGGTGCTATTTACCATGAAGATCAATGTTTTGTAACAAATAGTAATTTGTGTAGCTGTTCTTGCAGAATATTTTTCCACTGAGTTTATCTCATGTTTTGTAAGGAAGCTTCAGGTTGTGTATCCCCAACCAAAACACTACAACCCAAAGCGATGTTATGGTGATGAGGGTTTCATACCTGACATGAGGAACTAGTTGTTCATTTTAATTACCCAGCCCAAGTATTGATCTCTCTCATTTGTATAGCTCTTTCCCCCCTTTTAAAGATGATATATAAATATTTTGATATTTGTCAAACATGCCGTTTCCCTCCTCCAGTTGGCAGCAGTTGATAGTTCCTTACCCCACCAGTCTTTATTTTGATGGCTGCGAAATGACATTTCAGTTTCACCTTGTACTACAGGTGCATTAGCATTTTAGTATAAGCGCTGGTCCTCTTGGTGTGCACACACCTCTTTGTCATCTATGTGGCTGTACTTCAAGTATACATTCAGATTTTGGATTCATCACTTAGATGATAATCTATTGGATTTGTTTTCGGGAAGTGGCATCAAATACGGTTCCTTTTCTGTACTTTCTGGCAAACCAAGATGTTCTGGACTCATCTCCCGCTTCAGCCCTGTAGTCAACCATTTCTGCAAAGGGTCTGTTCCTTTTAGAATCTCTTTTTTTTCTGATATTTAGAAATCGGGGTCCGAGAACTAAAGTACGTTCATTACTGCTTAGATCTCACTGACTGATTCAAGGTCTTTTTTGCTAGAACAACAAGGAAATATATATATAACTTTATATTTAAGTACCTATTTTAGAAATTGTGAGTCCATTCTGACACCTTCAGTTTCTGTACTTGATCTTAGCCAAAAGTCTGAGAGCAGTACCTCCAGTATCTAGTCACAGCATTTCTGACTACATTTTAGACTTTTCTCCCTTTATCCTTACATGATTATACAGTGTACGTTTATGTTAGGATAACATTCATGAGGGTGTAAGTTGTTAATATGTAAATTAGCATAGGTGAGTTATTCCTTGTATATATCTGCTTAGAACCAGGAGTGTTTCAGATAATTAGATTTTGGAATATTACATATGCATAATGAGATATTTTAGGGATGGAGCCAAGTCTAAACATGAAATTTATGATTTATACACAGCTTGAAGGTAATTTCATTACCTCATACTGGGAATTGAACCAGCAGTTGCTGAATTGTATTTCCAGGCAGGGTCTGGCCCCACTTGGTGATTCTCCTGCCTCAGCCTCCCTAGTATCTGGGATTACAGGCATGTACCACCATGTCTGGCTTCACACTTATTTATATTTTTATTTGTTTATTTACTATTTTTTAAAAAAGCAATTTTGTAAATGAAATAGTTTCCTGGTGTGAATCCTTATTTCATATCAGTGCTTAAAAAGTGGCTTTCATAGCATTTCAGATTTTGGATTTTCAAATTAGGAATGCTCAACTGTAGTGATTTTTTTTAACCTTGATCATGTAAAGCAGTATTTTCCAGGTTTATCCCTATCTTTCCCTTTTCATTAGTAAATATATTTTGAGGGATGTTGGAGACCACTACAAAGTGGCTATGAGTTGGATTTAATATTAACCAATTGGCTTTCCGTGTTTCCTTGTGAGTTGTCTGAAGCTTAGGCACCTTGTTTGAAGATAGGCAGTGGATTCCTAGTAAGTAAACCTCTGTGAGTCCCTGGTCACCCTGAGGCCTGTATTTACCTGTTAAGCTGTGACACCTCAAAGGGCAAGAGAAGACCACAGCTGAGGACATTTGGCTCCAACCCCAGTTAGCTACAAGGAGACTGCAGCTGCAGGCTCCACATTCCTACAATAAATACCAACCTAAAGATAAAGTAGTTCTCCTGATTGACATCATCTACTACTAGGAAAAATTCTCCCAAGGTCCTGTGAGATTGCCATGTTTTCTTGAGTATCCTCCTCCTATATTTGAAAACCAAATAAATACAGGCCACCAGAGAAGTCTTTGGCTAAACTCAGAGAATATACAAGCTGTAAGAGAGTTAGTCCCTCCTGGAGCCCTAAAATCATTTCCATTGTCTCATTTATTTAAGCCTTCACTGTCCTCTTGCTTGGGAGATTGTGGCTTGATCAGCCTGCAATAGCTAAGGGTTATTTAACTCGATATTCGACAGAGGGATACTCTGAAACTATGCAAGTCCTTCATTATTTATTTTAGCATCCATTGGTGAGTTTTGCCCACAACAGTTCTTGTGTTTGCTAATGTTTCTTCTACGTTCATAAATTGTACTTTTATTATAAGGAAGAGCCTTACTGCCTTACATTTATTTACTCAACTATAATAGAATACAGATGCATGTTCAATTTTATGGGCTGTGCTACATTACAGTAGTTTTGTTATTCAAGTTCCAGTGGGAATTAGGAGCTCGTTTAAGTGGGCTTCTGTATCCTTTCATCATGCCCACATCATTTTTGAGCATTTGCTTTTCTGACAGCATACAGTGTTCCAGGGTCATCTTGTTACCTTGTCCGCCCCAGCCCTCAGTTCAACTTATTTTTAGGAGCTGTGACACTCCCCCACCCCCCCTCCTGCAATTAGGGAATGGTGTTGAGAAACCAAGATCTGAGTGTCAGGTGTGCTCGTTGCTACTGGGTTGCTACTGGATTCCATCAGTGGACAGTTAGAATGAATGATACTCCTCTATATCCATTTTTTTTAACTTCATTTCAGGCATCCAAAAGAACCACAAGAAAAGTTCATTCTCTTGCTTTTTTTGCTTTCTCATTTTCTTGTCAATTATTTGAAGAAAATTGACACACAAATTTCTTTTACCTCTCAATTCTTTTCCTAAGAAAACTATTCTAAGCCTGGCACAATGCTACCCGCCTGTACTCACAGCTACTCTGGAGGCTAAGCTGCGAGGATCAAACGTTCTAGGCTGGTCTAGGCAATGTAGCAAGACCCTGTTTGAAAATCTAAAGTGGGGAGGGGAGTGCTGGGAATGTAGTTCGGCGGTGGCGTGTCTAGCGTGCTAGACAAGTGCCACAAGGAAAGCAATGACAGTGCCACAAGGAAAGCAATGACAGTGCCACAAGGAAAGCAATGACAGAATAAAACATGCCCCGATGGACAGCTGGTCTTTCAAAGGAATGTTATTCTGTATGTTGTGTGCTATTTTCCTGCAGTTGCTTTCAAAAAGCTAGTATGATGCACTGCAGTGTAATTTGTATTTATTGTCCCGCCTGGGTTTTGAGTTTAAATCTACAAATGTATGTCTTTTATTAAGAGACTGACTCCCACAGCATTTCCAAATTACGTTCATCTTGATCTAATTTCTTTTTACTTCTGCTATGATTTTCAGTCCTAGCACTTTCATTTGATTTTTTTATTGTTTTAACTTTGAGATTCTTATACACTACCACCATAGTTTTCTTTACATCCTTGAACATTATTACGGTAATTTCACTAATTTCAACACCTGGGTCATCCAAAGAGCCATCTCTGTTGATTTCATTTCTTCTCAGTTTGGTTCTCATTTTCCTGTTGCTTTATATACCTAACAGGGTTTTGTTTTGTTTTGTTTTGTTTTTTGAGACAGTTTTGCTATGTAGTTCAGGGTGGCCTTGAACTTACTAGCCCAAGATGACCTCGAACTCATGGCAATCCTCCTGCCTCAGCCTCCCTAGTCCTGGGATTATAGGTGTATGCACCACACCCAGCTCATATCTAGCAGTTTTGATTTGTATCCAGGACACTGGTTGGTATTTGGTAGACTCGATTCTATCATGATTGAGAAGTATTGATTTAGTCTATTTTAGCAGGCGTATAACTTGGGCATTCTAAAACCCCCCAAGTCTGGCCCCTTTTTGGTAGGCTGCTGCTAAACTTTCTGATTGAGGTTTTTGTCTTAGCTGGGCTTCTTGACATATACCCCTTACAGGCATATTTTAAGAAGTCAGCCAGAGATTAGAGCAGAGAATATATGCAGATTTTAGTGCTCCTTTCTCTGCCACTTCTTGGAATTTCTTTCTGTATTTTTCGAGAATGTTGTGGTTGCCCTGATATCTGGCCTCTAGACTTTCAATGAGACTGTAGCTTTTTCGAGTTGTAGGGGGCCCACGAACTTCTGGCTTATCACCGGCATCCAGGCTGACTTTTT